GTGTTTGTTTATATGTGGGTGAATGTTTATGTGTGGGTGTATGTGTGTGTTTTTGTGTGGGTGTGGATATGTATGTGTGTGTGGGTGTTTTGTAGGTGTTTTTGTGTGGGTGTGGATATGTGTGTGGTGGGGTGTGGATATGTATGTGTGTGTGTTGTGTGTGGCGTTGTGTATGTGTGTTTTATGTGTGTGTGGATATGTGTGTGGGTGTGGGTGTTTGTGTGTGCTTGTGTTTGGGTATGTGTGCGTGTGTGTTTGTCTTATGTTTCTGTTTTTTTTTTGTATGTGTGTTTGAGATTTGTGTGTGTGTGTGTGGGTGTGAATATATATATTTTTTTCCGTTTTTCGACTATTTGAAATTAGATTAACATTTTGTCAATTCTCGGCTTCATTGACTGTTATCCTCATCCTCCTTTTCTCTCTACTCCTAGTGATATTTTAAAGTGCTAGAAGAAAATGTTGCAAATCAACTATCACAATTCTTAGAATCCTTCTTCAGTTTAACAGAATCTTGAAGTGAGATGATTTAGATAATTGTTCCCTGGCGATTCAACCACGAAAAAATTCCGATTTTTCAGCTGTCTATCAGGTTTCTTATGTGTTTTATTTGATCACCATGTTGTTGAAGTTTATCTTAGAGAAAGGAGAGGAAAAAGAGGACAAGGAAAATAGTATTCTCTCTCTCTCTCTTACTCTCTTTCTTTTCTTTCTCTCTTTCTCCCCTCTCTCTCTCCTCCCTCCCACCCTCACCCTCTCCCTCCTCCTCCCTCTCTCCCTCTATCTCTCCCTCCCTCCCTCCCTCTACTCTCTCTCTCCCTCCTCCGCCCTCCTCTCCCTCCCTCCCTCCTCTCATCTCTCCTCCCTCCCTCCCTCCCTCCCTCCTCTCCCACCCTCCTCTCCTCCTCCCTCCCCCTCCCTCTCTCCCCCCCATCTCTCTCTCCTTTGCCCTATCAGCGCCAAGGGAGATTCTCCCAAAAGCCACTCATAAGCCTTCCTCGAATATCTGAAACTGTTGCCTGTGATATCTGTCCTCAGAGGCTATGAACTTTGGTGAACGAGTTAAGGGTCGCCAAGTTGGATGTTCAAAAGGTCTTCACTTAATGGGAATCGCTTGACCTTGAGTTCGTGTTGGGTATATTGTTGATTTTGTTTATTTCTTTCGTGTCTATGGCAATAATGGTAATGGTGATGGCATTAATTGATGATGGCAGTGGTGGTGAGAAGGATAAGGATGATGATGATGATGATGATGGTGATGATAATGATATAAACAGTGATGATAGTGATGCTGATACTAATGATGACAATGATGATATTAGTAATGATAATGATAATAATAATAATAATAATAATATTAATGAAAACAACAACAATATTAATGATACTACTACTACTACAAATGATAATAAAGATGCAATTAGTAATCATAAGAATGATAATGATAAGGAGAAGAAGAAGAATGGTTATTATAATGATGGTAATAATAATGATAATGATAATAGTAATGATAATTATCATTATTTCTATCATAAATAATAGTAATGATAAATAATGATAATAGTAATGATAAAAATAATGATAATAGTAATGATGATGATCATTATAATATGTATAGTAATAATAATAATATTGATAATGATGATGATATCAATAGTGATAACAAAATATAAATAATAATATTAATGATAATGATGATAATAATAATAATAATAGCAATAATCAAACTGATGATAGCAATACTAAGTATAATAACAATAGCAAGGATAAATCGGTACATAGTAGCAATGGTACAAAAAGTGATCATAACTATAATGCAAATTACCTAATCAAAACAAAAATAACCTACATATCTCAATATATACGCATATTAAATAAACAAATAATTTAAGATAAATAAATTCCATTCATCAAAGATAAATGAAAATAACTTACATGTCTCGATACGTACATATAATGAATAAATCAGATAAGATAAGGCATGAATAAAGTCCATTCATCAAAGATAAATGAAAATAACTTTAACATCTCGATACAAAAACATAATGAATAAATCAGATAAAATGAGCCGCACACATGTACACAGAATCACACACACACAGACACACACACATTCCGCACACATGTACACAGAATCACACACGGACACACACACACACACACACACATATTATCAGACAAGATAATGCATGAATAAATTCCATTCATCAAACACCAATACGAATTACAACCTTAATACCGAGGAACTTACAACGACTCGCCTCGTACCAAAAGCCAAAGTCCCCAATACCAAAAGCAACCCATGCATGGTATCCCACCCGTCCAACTTTGTTAATGAACTTTGTCGCAACGATGCACATTGGTCCAGAATCACGAATTCCTGGTCGCAAATCAAGTTTCCTTATATGATAATGTATATTTCCCAATATCAGATATCTAAATTATATTATTTGTGAGCTTTATAGGTCATAAACCGATGTAAAGATGGTATATACTTACGAAATTTATATACTTTAGTTGTGACTGAGGTGCTTTTTTTACGTGGAGTTTTGGCCAGGTTTTGGCGATTCTGGATCACTGTGCAGATCCAGAAGGAAGTGGATTATGATTATCCTCATCCGATTTCTGCCTGCGATCTGTATGGATTGATGTTGCAGGCTTTGGTTAGAGGAAGGAGAGAAAAAGGAGGACAAGGGAAAAAATCATTCTCTCTCCATCTCTCTTTTTCTTCTTCTCTCTCTCTCTCTTCGTCTCTCTCTCTCTCTCTCTCTCTCTCTGCCTCTCTCCCTTCTCTCTCTCCCTCTCACTCTCTCTCTCTCTCTCTCTCTCCTCTTCTCTCTCTCTCTCTCTCTCTCTCTCTCTCTCTCTCTCTCTCTCTCTCTCTTCTCTCTCTCTCTCTCTTCTCTCTCTCTCTCTCTCTCTCTCTCTCCCTCCCTCCTCTCCTCTCCTCTTCATCTCCTCCTTCTCTCTCTCCTTCTCTCTCTCTCTCTCTCTCTCTCTCTCTCTCTCTCTCTCTCTCTCTCTCTCTCTCTCTCTCTCCTCTCTCTCTCTCTCTCTCTCTCTCTCTATCTCTCTCTCTCTTTCGTCTCTCTCTCTCTCTCTCTCTCTCTCTCTCTCTCTCTCTCTCATCTCTCTCTCGGTCTAGTGTCTAGGGGATGAGAGAGTTAAAAAGAATGTAGAGAGAAAAGGGAAAAGAGGGATGTAGGGAGAGACAAAGAGAGGGAAGTACAGAGAGCTAAAGAGAGGGATGTAGAGAGAGGCAAAGAGAGAGATGCAGAGAGGGGAATAAAGAGAAAATAGAGAGAGGTAGAGAGAGAGTGATGCAGAGAAGGAAAACAGAGAGACGGGAAGCGAAGAGAAAAGGACTGAAGAGATTTTAGTACACATCTATCTTTCCATTTTCTTACACGTTTCATGAATGATAATCATGGAATTATATATCTTTTTTTTCCTTCCTTAATTTTGTGATATGTCAAACAGTAATTTTAATTTGATTACAAAACGGTAAACAGAATTTGCCTTCATCTTGTCACATCTATATGGCATAAATACCTGTCATAGAGCGCAGTTGCATTCATATAAAAGACCTAATTCGTGAAACCATAAAAAAAACGCGTTGGGAAAAAAAGTTAATTTTGTACTAATGGAGACTAATGGTTGGCGTTATTACTTTTTTTTAATATGTCTAATTTGAATTACTCTTTCATTGATTACTCTCCCCCAGTCTCTCTTCCTCTTAAACACCTTTTTTTCGCTCCACTTACTCCCTTTTTCATCTTACTCTCTCTCCTCTCTCTCTCTCTCTTCTTTCTCTCTGTCTCTGTCTCTCTCTCTTTCTCTCTTCTCCCCACACACAATCTACCCCCAACACATCTATCTCATCCCCTCTTACTCCCTTCTCGCCCCTACTTACTCTCCCTCCTCCCTCCATCTCCCTCCCTCCCTCCCTCCCCCTCACCCAATCTCCCCCCCCCACCCCACCCCACACCTATCTCCTCCACATACTTCTTTCTCTCTCCCCTCCCTCTCTCCCTCTTCTCTCTCTCTCTCTCTCTCTCTCTCTCTCTCTCTCTCTCTCTCTCTCTCTCTCTCCTCTTCTCTCCTTCCTCCCCCCTTCTCCCTCCCTCCCTCCCACCACCCACTCTCCCCTAACCCCACGCCCCCCACCCCCTCACTTCCCCCCACATCCTACCCTCACTGACTCCCTCTCTCTCTCCCCCACCCCACCCCACTGACTCCCTCTCTCTCTCCCCCAACCACAGCTACCACAGTGGTTCCCCGTCATGGAGTTCTGCGCTTACTTCGTCGCCTACTCCAACTCAGCGCTCAATCCCATCATCTACTGTGGCTTCAACGCGAGCTTCCGCCAGGGCCTCGTGTCACTCGTCACCTGCCGGCACTCGTCGTCCAGCATCATATCTTACGGGCGTGAGTAGATGCTGGGGCGGTCTTCTTGTGTTTGTCTCTCTCTCTCCTCTCTCTCTCTCTCTCTCTTGTTTGTTTTCTTTCTTTCGGGCGTGTTTTGGTTGATTTGGTTCGTTTCTCTTTTTCTTTTATTTGTTTTCTTTTATTCTTCATTTTCTGACTCTTTTAGTTTCTCTCTTTCTCTTTCTCTCTCTAGCTATCCATCTCTCTCTTTGTATATATACACATATATATATATATATATATATATATATATATATATATATATATATATATATATATATATATATATATATATATATATATATATATATATATATATATATATATATATATATATAATATATATAATATATATATATATATATATATATATATATAAACACATACACGCACACACTCACACACACACATACGCACACACACACGCACACACACACTCATATATTAGTATATATATACACATTTCTATTTCCTCTTTCTTCGATTTTTATCCCTCATGTTATTATTATTATTATTTTTGTTAATTGCGTAATCTTTCATTCAGGAAAAGGTCTTCTAGGAAATGTTCTAAGATG